TCCATGCCCATGCAGGCATCACCTGTACAAATTAAAGTCTGTTGACTCGTTGAAAAAAAGAAGAAGAAAGTGCTATTGACTACTAAAAGGACAAACAAATATGTCTTGGAAGAAGTACAGCCAGAGTGCTCCTCAGAGGCAAGAATGGCGAGAGTTCATCTTGCATACTTTGGACATGTTGTCAGGAGAGACCAGTCCCTGTAGAAGGACGTCTTGCTGGGTAAAGTGGAGTGGCAGCGAATGCGAAGAAGGCTCTCATGCGACGAATTGACAGTGCCTACCACAATGGGCTCAGGCATAGAAACATTGTTATCCATAAAGTAGCTATGGGTTGTCACTGTCTTGATGGCACCTAACAACACAACAACAGGTTTTACATTTAGGCCTTTGATGCATTTTTCTGCAAATGCTGATTCAATTTTGCCTTTTCCCTATTTAATATGTTTCAGTCCTTTGTCAAAGATCAGCTGTTCATAAGTGGATTTACTTCTGAGTTTTCAGTTCTGACCACGGGTCTATATGTCTGTAATTGTACCAATACCAGCCTGTTTTGATTACCATAGCTATGTAGTGGGTTTTGAAATTGAGAAGTTAGAATCCTACAAGTTTGGGCTTTACTTTAGTGATGCTTTGCTTTCCTGGGGTCTTTTTCCTTTCCACATAATGTTAGTGATTAGTTTTTCATTTCTTTTTAAAATGATGTTGGAATTGGATCAGGATTGTATTATATCTGCAGATTGCTTTGCATAGTACTGACATTTTGACAGTCTTAAGTCTTTCCATCCATGGGCATGGTATATCCTTTCATTTATGTAGTTCTCTTTTGGTTTCTTGTAGTAGTGTTATATAATTTTCTTTATATATCTTTTGATTCTTTGGTTAGAATTATTCCTAAAAATTTTATCTTTTGAGTAGCTATTATAAATGGTAATATTTTTCTAATTTCCTTTTTTAGAGTTTTTTTGTTAGTGTAAAGTAATCCAACTTATTTTGGTGTGTTGATCTTGTAACCTGCCACTTTGCTGACTCCGTTAACTCCAACAATTGTGTTATTGAGTCTTTGGTGCTTCCTGTGTATAGGAGAATATCATCTACAAATAGGATTTCAATTTTTTGTTACCATTTTGTATGCCTTCAGTTTCTCTTTGTAGCCCAATAACTTTGGCTAAGACGACTAGCACAATATTAAAAGAGAGTGGTGATAAAGGGCATCCTTGTCTGGTTCCTGTTCACAAGGGCAATGTTTTCAGCATCTCTTCATTGAGAATAATGTTGGATATTGTTTTTGTATGCATGCTCTTAATTAAGCTGAATATTTTCCGTTCTATTCTTATTTTGTTGAGCTTTTTAAAAAATCAGGAATAGGTGTGAGTTTTGTCAAATATCTTTTCTGCATTGATATAATCACGTGGTACTTTTCCTTTCTTTTCTTTATGTGGTGGATTTGTTTTTCTTTTCTTTTCTTTTTTAAATTTTATTAGGGGCTCATACAACTTATCATAATCCATACATACAATTTATCATAATCCATACATACATCAATTGTGTAAAGCACATTTGTACATTCATTGCCCTCATCATTCTCAAAACATTTGCCCTCCACTTAAG